AAGATCCATCTAACATCAGCAACAATATCCCTAGTACCACGACCCCTTCTAAACCCAGCCTGGACTTCCGGCAGTTCTCTGCTGATGTGCTCTTTCATGATACTACTATATAATATAATTCATTGAAATAATTCATATACTGTATAATTCATATACTATAATAATTCATATACTATATAATGTAATTCATTGAAAAGCAGGACACTGAACAGTTAGGATATTGCTAGCATTAATGCGTGTTCGAAAATGGAAGACATTCCCTTTTTGAACACTTGGTCATTTGGGGTTTACACGGCCAACCCAGGGTTCAAATTCGCCAGCTGCTCCATGAGGAAAGCTGAGAAGTCAACTCATGCGATTTCCTGCATCTGAAAACCTGCTGGAAGATCAGCTGTGAGTTGTTTCCAACTTGACAACCCGTAGTCCCAGCAACAAATGTGTATTTTATTTTCCTGCTTAATAACTACTATAAACCACCCTGCTCTTTGATCGTGTCTTCTGTTACCGTTACCAGATAATTAATGCAAATATATCCTTTGGCCAAGGCTTTGAAAAATACTTTTGTTAATTTCAGTCTTCATTTTAAACATTTTGCTCATAATCATGACTGAAATTACCTGACAATGTTCCAACATGGAGGTTTGGCACAGGTGACCCAAAACTCTCCATATTTATGAAGCCAAGTCATATGAAAATTGAGAATTGAAGCTAGTGACATTTTTTTGGCTTTTAAAGCAATTGACTGGTAGAAAGGATAAAATTTTTAAAATTAATGTACAACTCTGGCAGAAAACCATTCATTTTTTCTGTATGAAATATTTTCTTGGTATTTCCTCCATCATTGATTAACTACTTGAACACATATCCCTCCCACTTCAATTGTGAGATTTATAGTAACTTACACTAACAAATAACTTTCTAAATAAATGATGATGTCAGTGTTTATGGAGCAGGGTCCAGCGTTTGAAAACAGGAGCATCAGTAATTTCATTTCCATAAAGAGTGAGATTTTTAAAAAAATCAAATTCATATAGATTGAATGTTGATTTTGGGGGATCATTTTCCTTGAAATAAGTAAGTTATGATAGGTGGAGAGAGGCAATAGGAATAGGATGAAACAAGAATGGTCATAAGTTTATTTTAGATTTTTTTATTTTAAATATGTTTGAAAATGTTCATGATAGAATGTTTGATAAAGAAACATAATGTCTATAAATGGTACATAAACATAATATGCACCCATTAAAATAACATTTATGAAGAATTTAATAACATACTGTACATATTTGTTATGCATATAAACCTATATATAAGCTCTGATGGTCTAATGATAAGCTGCACTGCGAACACGAAGGCATGCAGTTTGAATCCGTCAGCTGCTCCACGGGAGAAGGATCAGCAGTCCTCTCCCTTACGATTAACTGCCTCTGAAAGCCTGTTAACGGTCGAGGGTCACCTATGAGTCAGTTCATGTATTTATGTTGGATACCATCAAGTCAGGAATGACTCATAGAGCACCCTTCAGCAGGTTTTCAGAGGTAGTAAACTGCACAGGAGAAGATTGCCCATCTATCTCTTGTAGAGCAGCTAGTGGATTCAAACAGTGTGCCTTTGAGTTGAAAGCACAACTTCTTACCCCCAGGCCAGCAGAGCTCCCTTTGTGCAGTGTGAAGCTTGTCAGGCTGTTAGATGAACGGTATGAGGTTTTAATCCACCAACGAGAAAGATGGCCAATCTCCTTCTGTAAAGATTAGTAGCCTTGGACACCTCATGGAAGGTCACTATGAGTCGACATCCACTCAACAGCAATAGGTTTAGGGTTTTGATATAATACAAGTAAAATGGGAAATCTCCTATGTTATTTACAGCCTCTAAAACTCTCCGGAAGGTCTTCCATGAGTTGGTTCCAACTCCATGGAGATGAGTAAAGCTCTGCATAATGTGACTTGTGTGATGAAATACAATGCAGCACTCAGTAGCAATGATTTAAAAAAACTACTACATAACTTGGAAGAGACTGGAGATCATTATGCTGAATGAGCTAACTCAGTCTCATAAGGATAAATACTGCATAAGACCATTGTTGTAAAAATAGAGGGATAACTACTGAAACATGATGGGAACCAAAGCGGTCGAAGGAGTGGGAGAAGAAGGATGAGAATGGATAGGGGCAAAACCACAGGGATGAACTACTTGGTGAGTGGAGAGAGGGAAGGAGAGGTGAAGAGAATGAGAAAGATCCAGCGGGGACCTGAAAAGATTGGGTAATGATGCGCAAGGTCCAATGGTGATTAATTTTAGAAAATATAATGCATGGGAATGATTGTATGAAACACAATGTGAATGAAGAATACTATGAAACATAATGTATATGAACTTTGGAAGCAAACCGATACAATACTTTAAAAAGATAAAAAAAATATGACTTGTGTGCATGTACACTTAAATATTTGCATAGAAAACACAGTGGAAGGAATTAAATAGGCTAAAATATTAACTGTGGTTGTCTTTGACTGACAAGTGAACTTAAGTCTGTATTTTCTAAACTTCCTTCAATTAACCAGGAAACCCCCCCCCAATATTCTTATAATTTGAGAAAATTTTTAGAAGCAGTAACCGGTTCTGTGTTGTGTAAATTAATAATACATTTGTTGCGCTTTACTGTTTTCCACTTAAATTGTTCCCATCACTTATACAATAACAACAACAACAACATGACTCCTACTCTTGTGCTGTGGAGACCTGCTTGGCCGGTATTGCTCTGCACTATGCTCTGGACTTGATCTCTTTTGGGGAGTGTACAGATGAAGTCATGGGCAAAAATCCACCACTGCAGCCATATAATTTCCACCTTTTTCTAAACACGTTCTTTAATACGGATCTCCATCTTCTTTCAGTGAGCTGGACATGATATCTACAAGGGTGATGGACATTAAGCTTCGAGAGGCTGCAGAAGGCATTGGGGAGGACAACACAGGTAAGGCCCTCCTTTCCCCACTCTGGGAAGCCCTCACGTGTGTGCATAGTTCCAGGCAGGAAGAGCAGCTAACACAGCCAGGCCTTTGGGGGCTCTTTGTGGAAAGTGAATGCTCGTGACTCCTACGTTTTACCCATTATCACTTGGAAAAGAGGTCCAACTTCATGAATGGCATCCCGAGGTAATGCTCCTTTCATTTCTCTGTAAAAAACTAGGGGCTTTTGAAGTGCTTTTTCTCATTCCTGAAGAAGCTTTTCATCGGCTCAAGAGGGAGGAGGACAAATGAATAACTTACCATCTTAGAATGTATGAAGTTATCTGAAGGAGATTGGACAAAGTACAGCTCAATTAAATCATCCAGAAGAAATTCTATTAAGAGAGACTCTGATCCCTCTCTTTTATTCTCTCATGGACTTTTATGATACTTTCTACTTGCCATGAATTACCATCTCATAACAGCTCCAAGGGTTATCGAGTTATGTAATTGATTTGCTGTTATCTAGGTATTGCTATGTATGTCTTGATAGAGTTAAAAAATAGACATTAAAATCACGATCATTCCACAAGGTACGTTTCCCCCTATTACTGCTCTTTTTAGGGCACTAACAAAGTTCTCCATTTCTCTTTTATTTAAAGCCCAAATGCCAATAGTATTTTTCTTTTTTTTTTAATAGTATTTTTCTTAATATAGTGCAAAGGGAACAGCTCCAATAATATTAAATCCCAGCTACTATCCACTAGCATCAATCAGATACTAATTTCACCAAAGACTGTATTTCATTTATTATGTGTAGTTTTTAAATTTTCTTTTTGTTTCATATTAGAACCACATTTTCTCTATAGCATTTCACTAGATATCAAATTGTCCAAAATACAAAGTTTTAGAAATTAACTCTGAAAAATAAAGATATTTTGAATTTATAATATTATGGAACACTGAATTATTTCTTATGAATAAAAAAACATACTTGGAAGAAGTATTTTTTTTTTTAGCCTAAAACAACTTCTGTCTTTTCTAGTTTTGGATACCATAAGTAACAAGGTGACTTATAAATGTCTACTTACAGATTCAGCATTTAAAAAGTAAGAGAGCAAAGGTAATCCTTTTACAAATAAAAATGAACTAGGTTATTCACATCAATCCCTTCCTGCTGAAAATATAAATTCTAGATAAGAAAAATTGAAAAAATGTTTAGTAGATAGTAAAAAATAAATAGTCCAGAACTGAAAGAAAAAGATACGTGAGCAGAGAATCCATTTTTGTCCTTTGACCACTTGTCAGTCTACATAAATTTAAATTTTATTCTCATGTCTTCATTGAATGGGAGGTATGGTAAAGGTCGGCTATCAAAGTTCAGGGACAGAGCAATGTGAAGTTACCTGGAGATATTCCCCACAATATTCTAGAAGCCACAGAAGCTATGCAATTTGGTTCCCTGCGAGGGAGGATCTGTAGCTTGGATTTGTATTGCCTGGGTAATTCAGAAATCATCAACCAAGAATATAGTTAATAAGTGCTTCTAGATTGGTAACCCTCTTAGAAAAGTGAACAGTCTTCTCTAAAAGAATGTCTACTATGAAATTATAATGGAAAATTACAAATCAGTGATAATAATTCCTATAAGGAAACAAAATACTATCATGAGAACCAGAGAAACCATAGAATCAGATGTCTGAAGGCATCAGATGTCAAAATTATAAAATATATGCTGTAAATTAACTGTGCACACTACATAACTGTGTGTACTCCATAGGGAGCTCTGGTAGCTTAGTGGTAAGGAGTTGTGCTGCGAACACAGAGGAACATGTTTCAAATCCAGTAAGTGCTCTGCAGGAGAAGGATGAGCAGTCTCTTCCCTTGTGATTTACTGCCTCTGGAAACCCATGGAAGTTAAGTTATGAGTTGGTTCTGACTTGATGGTATATAACAAAAGTAGCAACTACATTTCCGCTGACAAAATTAAGAAAAAGTTTTTAAATACCTAGAAGGATGAGGAAATAGAAAAGTGGCATAGATCTAAAAATAAAGTCTTAGACTTAGGAATTCAATAAAACCTTATAGGACAACCTCCAAGAAAGTCAGTAAACATTTCATCAAAATAAAAAAGAGGGAAAGCATAAAGATTTAGCAGATACCAAAACACCATCAACGAAAAATACCAACAAAGAAAATTGTAAGAAAAGCCATAAGTAACATGAACTCTGCACAAAAGGGCAGATGGAATAGAGGTATCCGCAATACCACAAAAAGATAGCAATAAATATGCTTTATTGTTAATTCCACTGACAGAAATGGACTAACTTCACTCATCAAGCGAAAAAGAGTAGCAGAATGGATAAGAAAACATCATCCAGCAATATGATGTCTATAAGAGACACACCTCGGATACAAACAGATTAAAAATAAATATTTTTTGCAAAATACATAACAAATAATATAAACACGTTGTTGTTGTTATGTGCCTTCGAGTCATTTGCGACTCATAGCGACGCTATGTACAACAGCCCTAAACCCTGTTCTATCCTGTGCCAATCGCATTGCCTCTGACACACCCATCCCGAGTACCCCAGTCACTGAATCAATCCACCTCATAGAGAGTCTTCCCCTCCTGCACTGTCCCTCTACTCTACCCAGCATGATGTCCCTCTCCAAAGACCTGTCTCTCCTTACATGTCCAAAGTATCTCAGATGAAGCCCCAGCATCTTTGCCTCCAAGGAGTAGCCTGGTTTAACCCTCTCTAGGATGGATCTGTTTGTTTTCTTGGCAGTCGAACATTCAATACTCTTCTCCAGCACCACAGCTCAAAGGCGTCAATTCTCCTTCTGTCCTCCCTAGTCATTGCCCAACTCTCTGATGTATAACAAGTGATTGCAAAGACCATGGCCTGTATCAGACACACCTTAGTGTCCAGAGAGATACCGTTGCTCTTGAGTACTTTAGAGAGGTCCCTAACAGCAGACTTTCCCATAATCTATGTGTTTATATAGGTTTTTATATAGGTTTATATATAAACCTATAAAAAACATCGATTATATATATTACAAGTAATTTATAACACACATATGATATCTCTCTAGTATTTTTGTCATTATTGTTTCATTATAAATTTAGGGGGTGAGAGGGGATGGGGGAAAGTAACAAAAGGACAATTAATGAAAACCACCATTGAAGGTAAGGAAGGGCATTACATACTGATTAAAGGCACAATAGATCAAGAACACATAATCTTGGTCAACATTTATGCACCAAATCATGATGTTGTTGTTGTTCTTAAGTGCTGTCGAGTCATAGGCAACTCATAGTGACCCTGTGAATGAAAGATCTGAGCACTGTTCGTAAGAGTTTCCAGAGGCAAACCATTTCGGAAGTGGATGCCACTCCTGCTTCCAAGCTTGTTTTAATCGGGAAGCTCCACCAACACTGTCCACCATGGGTAACCATTCTCGCATTTGGCACATCAGTGTCATAGTGTTCAGCATCACAGCAACCACGAGTTACTTCTGTACAGAAGTGCACAGATCACTGCATTGGAGTAGATGAGGGAGAAAACTGTTTAAAAGGAATACATGATTAGGTATTATTTGCCTGACAAGAGTCCAGAATAAGAGCTACATGGTAAAGTGGACTGGGGGAGATTGTATAACAATGAAAGAATTATTTTTTTTAGAAGAGAAAAGCGAACTGGTGGGAAGGGTGACAGAGAGGAAGATGTGCAACAGTGAATGAGTGGAAATCCAAGTTCTCTGTAAATTTTCATTAAAATCTCAATTAAAAAAAATTGGAAGATTCACACTGATTCCTACATCTACTATAAAGCTACAGTAATCTAAACAGTGTGGTATTGGTAATAGACCAGAACAGGGAGACAGAGTAGTGCTAGGACATTTGGAATATGTGGGAGAAAATGGAATTTTGTTCTATACCTCAAAGGTGTTATAAAAATTAATGCAAATAGACCCTAATTTGAAACGAAGACATCTTTAAAACATTGGAGAAAATATTTATAACCATGTATTTGGCAGACATTCTTAAAATATTGTACCAAAACTAAATCTTCTAAAGAAAGTACTAAAAACTGTAAACTGTACTTCATCAAAACATGACAGTGAACTCAGTCTCATAAAATCAAATGCTGTATAAAATCATTATTGTAGAATAAATACGAGGATTCAAGGAGGTAAGGGGGGCTGCTTAATCATAAAGTCAGATAATTTGATGAGTAGAGGGAGGGGTGGGTAAAGGAAAGGATAAAGATCTGGTGTGGAAAACCATGTTATATGAACTTTGTAAGTAAACCACTATAAAATTTTTAAAAAATTTAAAAGACGCATGAGTCTTATTTCTGCATTCACTGACTTTGTCAATCCATCTTGTTCAGGGTATTTGTCTCTTCACTGACCCTCTGCCTTTTCAAGCATGACCCTCTAATACTTTCCAAGGAATAATTTATGCTAACAGCATGCCCAAAGCAAAGTATGTGAGATGAACTTTCACCATGCTTGTCTTCAAGGAGCACTCTGGTTGAACTTTCTCCAGGACGTAGAAGTTTATTCTTTCATCAGTCCATCAGATGTTCAGCACTCTTCTCCAGTACCACAACTCAAAGGCATCCATTCTCCTGTCACTCTTATTCATTGTCCATCTCTCAGGTTATATCAGGTGAATGGAAAGACTATGGCTTAAATTAAATACATCTTAGTATTCAAACTGACTACTCTTTTGGACACTTCCCACCATGGAAAAGAATGCTCAATTCTTGTTTGAGAGGAAAGACTTGGAAATGTGCTCCTGTGAAGATTATGTCTTAAGAAACCCAACAGGCAGTTTTCTGCTCTGCAGGGTCGCTATGAGTTGGAATCTGCTCCAACAACACAACACTCATAGACAATGCAAATTAAAGTCATAATAAGATACCAGTACACATTTGTTAGAATGAACTTTATGAAAACAAAAGAAGCCAATAGATACTATATGCTGATAAGAATCAACTTGAACATTCATACATTGCTGAAGAGAATGAAGGATTGCGAGGTAACACAGCTACCTTGGAAAGCATTCTCGTAGTTACATATAAAATTGAACATATACTTACATGATCCAGCAGTTCTACTCCTAGTATTCACATAAAGGAAATAAAACATATGTTTACACAAACAAATATGTTAATGCTTATAGCAACTTTATTTGTAATTGCCAAAAATGGAAGTGAGCCCAAACATCTTCTAAATGGTGAATTGTTACACATACTGGTATATCCATTCAATGGTTAGAATCAACCCATACCTGACCCTCCAGTGGGTTTTCAGGGACCATAAAACACACAGGAGGAGATGGTCCATCTTTCTCTCACCACCAGCACTTCCTGGTCAGCAGTAAAAGAAACACATTATTACGATGAGTAATAACAAGAACCAATCTGCAATGTGATATACTGGGCAAAACCCAGAAAATACACCCCTACTACATATTATACAATTATACAATTCAATCAATGTAACGTTTTGAAAAAGGCAAAAATATGATCAGAGAAGAACTGTTTCCCAGGAATTAGAAATAGGAAGAAGGTTTGACTACAAAAGGACACCGGAGAGTATTTTTGGGACCTTTGTTATGGTGGTGATTATGCAGCTCTGTGTATACTGTATACTAGAAAGAGTGAATTTTCCTATATGTAACTTTTAGATACAATCACACAGCACACTTTAAAAATAAGAAAATGGATTTTCCAGAAATAATCCTAATGATTAAAATTTAGTAGATTAATTTAACAGTAAGTAAATAACCCAAAATAGATCAGATAAAGTTATTCAAACTTGGCATTACTCAAGTTGAAAGAACTGTAGAACAAATTCAAGCCTTGAGTTGAATATTCAAGGTCTTTGTGAGAAAAAATAATGACTGATGCAGGAAACATCGAGAGAAGATAGACGTAGCATCCTATCAGGAAGTAGCATATGGTCAAGAACCAACGGTACTGAAGGATGAAGTCTAATCATCACAAAAGGCTTTGGCAAAAAAAACCCGAGGCTCCAGGAGTGGGCTGAGGTGATTCAGATGCAAACTTGGACATGATCACTTATGCCAAGATATTTGGAAGCCAGCTACCTGGCCAACTGACTGGAAGAGATTAATACTTATTTAAAAAAAAAAAGGGAGGATGATACAAGAGAATGCAGATTTTACCAACAAGTATCATTAATAGTTCATACAATAAAGATACTGCTGATAATTATTTAAAAACTATTAGAATAATACATTGACAGAGGACTTCCCAAAAAAATGAAGCTAGATTTAGAAGCAGCTATGGCACAAGGAATATCATTGCTAATCTCAGATGGATCTTGGCTTAAGGCAGAAAATACTAGAAGGATGTTTACTGGTGTTTTATTGACTATGCAAAGGCATTCAACTGTGTGGAACATAATAATGGATAATTTTGAAAAGAATGGAAATTGTTGAATACTTAAATGTGTTCATGGGAACCCTAAACACAGACCAGGAATCTGTTGTCCAAACAGAACAAGGGAACATACTATGTATTTTAAGATTGTTGTTGTTGTTATGTGCCGTCGAGTTGTTTGCGACTCATAGTGACCCTAGGAAGGATGTATTTCAGGGTTGTATCCTTTCTTTACACCTGTTCAGTCTGTATGCTCAGAAAATCACTCAAGAAGCTGTACTACATGAAGTAGGTAGCCTCAGGATTGGAAGAAGACTCATCTACAATCTGTGTTGTGCAGTTGACACAGCCTTGCTTGTCAGAAAGCAAAAAGGACTTCAGACACTTGCTGCAAAAGATCAAAGACTTTAGTCTTCAACATGAATTACATCTGAATATCAATAAAAATCTTAACCACTGAACCAATAGATAATGTTACGATACATGGGGAAAAGATTGAAGATGTCAGTTCTTTCATTTTATTAGGGACCACAGTCAACATCCACAGTATCAGCAGTCAGGGAATCAAAAGACATATTGCACTGAGAAATCTAATGTGAAGGACCTCTGCAGAGTGTTGAAGAGCAATTTTAATTTAAGGACTAGGGTGCATCTGATCTAAGACATAGTCTTTTCAGTTATTTGCTATGCATATGAAAGTTGGACAGTGACTAAGGAAGACCAAAGAAGAATTGATGACATTGAATTGTGGTTTTGGAGAAGAGTATTGAATATACTGTGAATTGTCAAGACAGTAAACAAATCTATCTTGGCAGAAGTGCACTTAGTGCTCCTTAGAGGCAAGGATGATGAAATTTCATCCCACATACTTTGGACATGTTGTCAAGAAAGACCAAATATTAAAAAAAGACATAATACAGAGAAAGTCTAGAGTCAAGAAAAAGAGAGGGAAATCTTCAACAAAATGGATTCAGTCAGGCAGAGATTATGGTGCTAGGATATGGCAAGGTTTGGATCTACTCATTTGAATAGTGGTAGATTCAAAGGCATCTAACAATGACAGCATGTGTATTGTACACAGAAAACGTGAATTTCAAGTGTAGAATTTGTGTTTTGTTCTGTGGTAATGTGTTAAAGTTTATTTTGTGTTCTTGAATGTCTAAACTAAATAGAAATTAAGACTGAGTTTCAGGTTTGTAAGAATGATGCACTGTTTTTCTTAGCTCCAGTTCTGTATTCTCTTTGTCACTGTAGAGAAATCCAACTGATTATTGTATGTTGGTCTTGTATCCTGCCACTTTGCTGAATTGGTCAACTGTGTCCAGTAGTTTTCTTGCTAAATCTTTAGGATTTTCTAAGTATACTATCATATCATATCTGCATATAGAGATAATTTTACCCCCTCTTTGCCAATTTGGATACCTCTTATTTCCTTCTCTTGTCTTATTGCTATCGCTAAGACTTCCAGTACAATATTGAATAAGAGAGGTGAGAGTGGGCATCCTTGCCTAGTTCACGTTATTAAAGGGAATGCCTTTGCTCTCTCTCCATTGAGAACAATGTTGGCTCTTGGGTTTTCATAGATACATTTTACTATGTTGAAGAAATTCCCCTCTAATCCTATTTTGCTGAATGTTTTAATCAGGAAAAGGTGTTAGATTTTGACAAGAGCCTTTTCTGCATCAATTAATATGATCATGTGGTTCTTCTTCTTTGCTTTGTTAATGTGATGAATTACATTTATTGTTTTTCTTATGCTGGCAAGGTTGTGGAGAAACTGTTAGTGGGAGTGTAAAATGGTGCAACCACTATGGAAGGCAGTATGGCGCGTTCTTGAAAAGTTGCAAATAGAAATACAATTTGATCCAGCAATCCCACTACTGGGGAATATACCCCAAAGAAACCAGAACTGCCACCCAAGCAGATATATGCACACCTATGTTTATCATGGCTTTGCTCACAATAGCAAAGAGTTGGAAACAACCTAAGTGCCCATCAGTAAACAAATGGATAGAGAAGCTGTGGTATATTCACACAATAGAATACCACACTGTATTGAAAAACAAGGAACTCATGCAATATTATACAAAATGGATGACCCTGGAGGACGTTATGCTGAGTGAAATATCTCAGTCACAAAAGGACAAATACTGCATAGTGCCACTATTGTAAAATGGAACTGACATCTAGGTTGGGGGGAGACTGAGAAAGATGGGATAAATTATGATTACTGCATTGAAACAGATGAGGGAGAGAACTGTTTAAAAGGAATATGTGATTAGGTATTATTGTCATGACAGGAGTCCAGAATGAAGGCTGTATAGTGGAGTGGACTTGGAGACAGGGATTGTATAACAATGAAAGAATTTTTCTTTTACTTTTCAAAGAGAAGAGCGAACTGGGATCAGGAGAGGTTGGGCAGGGAGAAAAGTGCAACAGTTAATGAATGGAAATCCAAAGTCTCTGTAAACTTTCACTAAAATTAATTTTTTTTTACTTAGTTTGTTTATTTTTCATTTCAGTGAACATCTACAGAGATTTTGGAATTCCATTCATTCATTGTTGCACCCTTCTCCCCACACAAACTCCTCCCCCCTTTGCTCCTCTCCTTGAAAAGCAAAAGAAAAACTCCCTCATTGGTACACAATCCCCCCGCACCTCCCCAAACCCCACTCCCTACCCCCAAATATAATCCACTCTGCAACCCTCATTGCGTACTCCTACGATAAAAATAATGCCTTAAAATAGAATACTTTTAGACTATTCTCTCCCCCATAGACTTCAATGCCATAAACATATTTCATCCAAAATTAATTTTAAAAAAAGAATAGGAAAAAAAGATATACTGTATGTCTATAGATCTAAAAACAATAGTAACAATAAAAACACAAAAGGGAATAATTACTGTATAAACAGAAATCTTGCTTTTTCTTCACATGCACTTCTCACATATGTTTGGTGAGATCTCACCAGCCTCTAAATAGCATGCTTTTGCTTATGGTTGATTTTTAAAATTTGTCTAGGAAAGAAGAAATCCAAATTCAAAACTTTTAAGAAGTTCTTTGGGAAGAAGAAGAGGAAGGAATCACCCTCATCCGCAAGCAGTAGCACTTGGAAACAAAATCAAGCGAAGAGTGAGGTCATTGCCCTTGAGTCAGGGCCAGTGGGCTACGACTCTGAGGATGAGCTTGAGTAAGTTACCTTATCTCTCCGTCTTGCTTTGCTCGCCAAGCAGGAGGGTATGTGCGAGATGGACTAAAGCCTTCTGTTTCACTTTTTGCAATTTGCCTAGCTTTCTGAGCCTACTTATCTTCTAGGTGTCTCATCGGAAGTTCTTTCTCAGAGATTGTAGTTTTGGTCTTTTCATATACAAAGTAAGAGAAAGCATTATTGGGCAGCTGCTATGTGCTTGCCAGGTGGTCTGTCTGTTAAAAATCACAGTAACTGTATGAGTCTAAGCAGGCGTACCTGGAGATACTGTTGATTTGGTTGTAAACCACCACAGTAATGTGAATGCTGCAGTAAAGCAAGTCATGTGGATGTTTTGGTTTACCAGTTTAGATGAAAAATATGTTTACATTATATTGTATATATTGCAAATTTTAAAGTACTGCAAAAAAATTACTAAAATGTGACACAGATACATGAAGTGAACACATGCTGTTGGAAAAAACGGTGTCAGTAGACTTTCACCTCCAATTTGTGAAAAATGCAGCATCTGCAAAGCACAGCAAAGCCATGCATAGATATGCTTATCTCTTATTTTGTAAATGAGCAAACCAGGACTTAGAGAAATTTTGCCACTTGTCTAATATGTTGTTTTTAGTGCCATTGAGTCAAGTGTGTCTGACTCATAATGAGCCTGTGAACAACTGATCTGAACCCGGTCCTATCCTTTGCAATCCTCACAATGTCTGACATACTTAAGTCTGTTGCTTCAGTCACTTTGTCAGTCCACTTAGTTTAGGGTCTTCCTCTCCTTCACCATCCCTCCAGCCTTCCAGGCATAATGTCCCTCTCCAAGGAATGGCCTCTAGGATAAGGGTTCTGTTTGAACTTAACAAGCAGTTCCTTCGGGGACCTGGACACAAAACTAGAAAACTGCATGTCTCTCACTTAAAGTTGAACTTTGAATAATAATTTAGTACAAGAAGCTAAAAAAACCAAATCATTGCTCTTGAGTCAGAATCAACTCATAGCTGACATTCCGGCAGGTTTTCAGGAGTCTGTAAGTCACACAGGAAAAGATTGCCCACCTTTCTTCCAAAGAGCCGCTGGTAAAGTTAAACCTTCAGAAAGTCATCACCTTTGGGTTAGCAGAACAGCTCTCCACAGACGACATCACCAGAGCTACTTAGTTTTCCATCAAAGAGATTAAAACAAAACAATGTTTCCTGCTAGTTAGTCATATAAAAATAATCTAAAATGTCATTGGGAAGAGCAGATCCAATAGATGTTAAACATTTTAGAAAGTCTAGTGAAGACATTTTTACTTATTTTTTCCCATTTTTTAAAATTGCAATTTCAACAAAAGTTTACAGAATATTGGATTTTTATTCATTCATGGTTGCATATTTACCTCCCTAATCCCCAGTTCACTTTAAAAAAAAATTCATTCATTGTTGCATAATTTTCTCCTTTCCCTCTTCACCATTCACTTTGCAGTGCACCTCTAATTCTAGACTGTTGTCTTACAGATAATGCCTATTCATATATTCTTTTTAAAACAGTTAAAATGAATATCTTTGTGCTATCCTAGAAATGATTACTGTGACTAAAAGGAAACAGATTTTTCTACAGAAAAGCTACACCAACTTTTGTATTTCCTTTTTAACAACATTGCCCTCTGGATTTGGAGGATAACCCCCTTCAGAAGACACCGTGTCCCCCAGGATTAAGGAATAGAACAAAGGGAGCAAAGGGAGTAATGGGCTTGGGCCTCCCAGTGATGTGTTTGTCCTCTTCCCTCCTCCTCAGGAGCCTCCTACTATTTGTTTTTAACTTTTTAAATAATGAAATTAAAATATACATCACTAAAGACTTGCCAGTTCACCAGTGTTTACATGTATTCTTCAGTGCAGTGATATTCACTATGTTCGTTTTGTTGTACAACCGTTGTCTCTCTCCATCTCCAAATTACTTCATCACTTTTAATAGGAACAAGGAGTACTGATATTGCAGTGGTTAAGCACTCAGTTGCTAGCCCTAAAGGTCAGTGGTTTAAATCCCCCGGCTACTCCAAGGAGAAAGATGTAGCAGTCTACATTTGTAAAGATCTGCAGCCTTGAAAACCCAATGGGACAGTTAACTACTGCCCTGTGAGTATATTTGAGTCGTAATTTATTAGGCCACAATGGATGAGTATTTTTTTTTATTATTATAGTATTAATATGCATGCAGTGCCCTCTATGCTGTAATGAGCTTTGACTGTTTTTAGAGGAGTAGAGATTATATTGACCACTTGGTGGCACCAAACAATTGAAATGGAGAGATGAGGTTTTGGTTTCTGGTAATCGCAGTTGGTAAAATGGGACCTGGGAATCCATTAGGAAACCTGGAATGCTTGTTCCCTTGGTAATGCTATTGTTCGGTGCCTTTGAGCAAATCCCTGCTCGTTGTGACCCAAGTGATGTGGGCATTGCCCAGTAAGGTTTCCAAGGCTGTGATCTTTACAGGACCTGTTGCCAGGCTATTCTTCACAGAGCAGCTGAGTGAACCAGCCTTTCTGCTAGCTGTGCAGAGCTTAACTGCTGTGCTGAGAGGGCTGCTTGTCTTAGTAATAATGCTTTTAATTTCTTTTCACTTGGCCAACCCCAGAGAAGTGATGCCAGCCGTACCACCCACATCCTATCTTGTGACTATCTTGTGGTGTTGGTGATATAGGCCTGGACCAAGAGAGGGCCCTAACCTCCAGAGAACAGCTAGAGGAGTAAGTCAAAGGGAAATGGCCAGTCCACTTGTCTGTCTCCTTCTCGTCACTAAAACCATTGAAAGAGATAATGTCTTTCTTGTCCTTAGCTCTCTTGAACTTCACAGGGACCTGAATTTCATTTATTATAAAAGTTTGTTGAAATTGATTCTTGCAAAGAAAACTTGAGGTGGGATATATTTGTGACAAAGAAGTGCAAATTGTATAGAGAGAAACACAAGGAGGAGGTAGGATCCTACAGGCACTCTAACCTCTGCGAGAGGGTGCATGCCTTCCAGCTTCTGCAGCACGTTCAGCCCACTGATGAGCCCATACTACCCACTCTTCTCATCCATCACTATGAGCCACCAAGACACACTCATGCTGGGGCCCTGAAATGTGAGGATACACTCTTTGGGGAGCCACAGGCTTCTTACTTGCAAACTTAGTGTTATGAGCCAGAAAGGAAGTTAATGAAAAGAAAGCAGCATTAACCAACACAATTTGAAATGCAGTGGGGCGAAGCCACACCCAGAGGCCATTGACCCCACATAGCAGGATGCCCACAGGGTGGGGTCCGTACGGGTACAAGATGTCCAGTGTGTGCAGAGGCAGACTTTCCTTCCCTCATCGTCTGACTCCATCATCTCCTTCCACCTATTGTTCAGACAGCCACTGCTGCTAGGACAATCTGCCAACTAATTCCACTTCCTCTCATGACAACTTGTGAATTCCCACTGAGTCCTGTGCCAGATCTGAGCCTTGAACTCAGTGCTGGGGAGAGGGCTGGGATGGGGCATAATGAACCCCCTCTCTAACCCCAGTGTCAATTTAAGACCTAAATCTCTGCAGAGGGTGAGTTGCACAGTTCATGGAATGCCAGCGTCAGGTAATAGTGTGGCTTTGTAGATTTGAAACTCTCCTTTCACACACAGCCATGCATATATGTTTCAGAGGGTCTGGGATGGGGGGTGCAGGAGGAGTCCATTGGTCAGGCAGACCCTCAGCCTGCTGTGAAAACCTGGCCTTTAGCCCACTGAGGTTCTGTTTGTCTCCCCACAAGAAATGAGTTCACCTTTTGCAGTGTTCATGACAAATTCCATAAAAATCAGATGATCTAGCCAAGGCCGCCTGCCAGTCCTTCATATCTGCTTCCTGCTGTCTTGGATCTCACACCTTGTCACATCTTGGTTTGTTTATTTAATAAGAATTCACACAACCTTCAGATATATCAGGAAAATACCTGACTATCCAGTGCTTTTGAGAGTCAGTTGTTGCAGTTGACACTGTGGGGATAAATTCAAGGCAGTGGCAATTAAAACGATAAATGCAATAAAGAGCTTGTTGTGTGACATGCAGTCAACTCTCATCCCCCCTCTAAGTTCATCCTGGGAACCCCCACAGTCAGGGGAGGGAAGATGGACAGAGTCTCATGGTGCCTCTTCTATCCTAGGGAGTCCAGGGGTGGACTGGGCAACCGAGCCCTCTCACACGACAGTATTTTCATCCCTGAGTCAGGCCCCGATCCTGGTCGGCCCGTACGAGTGTTTTCCCAAGAAAATGTGTGTGATCGGATCAAAGCTCTGCAGGTATAAGTTTTTTTACTTGGTAATTTTATCAAAAGGTGTTTAAATGGTTTCCACTTGTTTTACTTTTGTTACAGTCCACATGCACTTCACAATGGGCAGAGGACACACTGAAAGAGTTATAGTTTGATCTTGATTCATGCTTAATGGAAACCATTTTCAAGATGGTGCAAGAAAAACCAGCGGCAGCCACTCTTTCAGCTCTGCCCTGTAGTATATCATTAAGGGGGCTAAAACAAATGGTTTTTCAAATGACTGAGTAGGACTGCATGCTGTCAAATGTCACTGATGAAGTTAAGAATGAATGATCTTTGTTTCAATCCAGTTAAAAATACAGTGTAATGTGAAACTGGGGCCACCACCTCCTCCTGGAGGACTTCCTGTCAAGCGTGGGGATGATGCTGGCATGAGCTCTGAAGATGATGGTCTTCCTAGCAGCCCCCCGGAGATGTCTCTGCTGCATGACGTCGCTCCCAGCACAACCATAAAGGCAAGTACACTTCCTGTGTCTCCATCTTTGCCCCCCATGGAGGATGCCTGGGAACACCGATTGTCCCTGTCTGCCTTCTAAATGTCTCCATCATAGGTGTGTTTTCTTAGAGAAGCCAACAGATGTTCCAGGTCGAGTCACTAGAGCCCATTATTGGTCTGTGAGCTGTGTTTCTGTTTATTCTCAGTGCAGAAATTCAAGACTTATTAGTAGATGTACTTTAGATAACACTCTGACTATAGTTACTAGTCTGATACAATCAGGTTTGCACCTTGTAATTCTTGTCTGAGCAGATAACCAGGCCAGTCACCTCATTTAAAAAGAAATGGGGCACCTTTGTGTCTGTTTCCTGGCATCATGAGATTTGGCTTGAGGGAGAAATAGTAAATCCATACAGGCTTTTATGTAGATTCCTATTTCTCTCAGCCTATGACTTTGAGAACTTGCTGGGTAGAAGCAGAAATATGAAGTATGATACTGGTGAACACAACAGCAGAGGAAGTTCACCAGGCAGGGCTGGTATTTGTGACTTCAACAGCAGTGGAACTGGTCTTGAATACCATCTTCCCTTTGGAATCAGAGCAGAGGGGCTGGAGGAATTGATCTGATTCTCATATACCAACATTGTATCTCATTATACTACCATTTTAAACTCGTAAAATATGTTTGTACATAATAAACCAAAACCAGTTTGAACCAATTCTGACCTTCTAGAACAGAGTGGAAATGTGCTATAGAATGTCCAAGGAAATAAACCTTTACAGAAGCAAACTGCCAAATCTTTTTTCAGTCAAGTGGCTGGTGGGTTTAAATGACTCACTTTTCTGCCTGTAGTCAAGTTTATAAACCACTGTGCCCTTATTTGTTCATAAGTGATTAAATAGATTTTATTTTTCCCTTGTCATTATGCCTGTAGGGGGAATAAAAGTGAAGTGGAGGTCCAAAGGTGTTTTTGTTGTTGTTTTGTTTTTTTAAATACAACCCTGTGTCTGTACATCCGTGGAGCCATGTCACTTCTGCCCTGGCAAAGGGACCACTCATTATGACAGTGTGAGGCCTGTGTTAGGTCATTGTTGTCTTCATTTCCTAGACTTCTTTAACACGATACAACAAAATGGGTGGATTAAAGAAATCTATTTCCTCCCAGCTCCAGAATCCAGGCCTTCACATTCAGGGAATCAGCTGTTTCAAATCGCTCTTGGGGTTCTGAAATAAAACTGCCCATGTCCCTCACCTAGCTTTTGCTAGCTTGGCATCCTTGTGCTTAAGGATTGATCCTCACCATGTTTTCGCTTGGTGTGTGGCTGTTTTTCTGTCTGGGATTTCTGTCCAGTCTGATAGCTTTAAGACCCACACTGTTCAGTGTGACATCATTCACAGATAGTACCTGCAAAGGAAAACCTCTTTGTCCCGAAGTCACATTCACAGACACAGGGGTCATAACTCCAACTTATTTTTTTGAGCAACGCGGTGTGATCTGTATAGTTGTATGTACCTTGAACATTCTGAGCTGTTCAGAAGCTCTTATGTTCAGAAGCTGCTTGTAGGACGTTCAGAAGATTCCTTTTTCTCACAAAGGCAGGGGAAAGAACCTCACCTAATTATGTGTGTATTTGTGGGTTTTCAGAGCATCACAGATACCACACCTCACGGAAGGGTGGGCTATGGCTGAGTTTGAATAAGCTCCTAGGTCAGGAGATTCACACAGGGCTGCTTGGAGAAGTATTCTCTTCTGCAGAATAGACCTCTCCTTGGAGTCCTAGGAGAGTGGGTCTCTGTATATGGCCTCTCCTCAGAAAGCAGGAATAGAAGACAAGAAGGATGGATTAGCTTATTTCCTGGAGCTGTTCCAGCACCATTTGATACCTTAAATCCTTGAAATACCAGTAAGGGGAGGTTGATAAGCTTGTGGTCACCACAATGTAATAAACAGGCAAAAAGACACATACTAATTGTTTTTTGTCTGCACCTTCATATATATGAAGCTTCAGTGTCTCCAGCCTTAGGACCCAGATGACAGTATGCATCTTTCACACAGATGTCCAGACAGAGCCTTCTCAGTGGTCTTCAATGAAGTATCTCCTGCCTCCATCCCACGGTTCTCTGACTCTCACATCTTATTCTGGCATAGGCAGTGAAGTAGAAGAACCTCCTTTGCTGAGGACCCCAGCTCCCAACCTGAAAAACAAGACACACAGAATCAGCTGCTTCAAATCGCTCTTGTGGCTCTGAAATAAAACTGCCCATGTCCCTCACCTAGCTTTTGCTAGCTTGGCATCCTTGTGCTTAAGGATTGATCCTCACCATGTTTTCCCTTGGTGTGTGGCTGTTTTCTGTTCAGTCTTATAGGTTTAAGGCCCACACTGGGCAGTGTGACATCATTCACAGAGAGTGTCTGCAAAGGAAAACCTATGTGTCATAGCATTACACTGGGCCAGTGCATCTGCTAGAGAAAGGAGGATGCTTTATTTAAAGTGTCCTCGGATTGTATCAATTGTTGTAACCAAGCAACTAACTTCATAGGATACTAACAATTGAGCCTTTAAGATTTTTTTAAAAAGAGTAATCATTATCATGGTTTTGAAGGACATGATTATATTTCATATTAGAAAAGTTATTTTTGTGCACAGTTGGCCATTTTCAATGAGGAAACAATGCACCCTTTAAACTGTACTTATGTAACATAATATTTGATATGAGGGTGCCTTTAATCCTCACAGGTTGAGGTTGTGAGCTGTTTTATCTTTTCCGGGTTTTATACCCATGTGCTTGCCAGAGAAAAGTTTGAAGATTATGATAAAAAAAAATCTTGATGGCAAGTATTTAATAATATTCCCATGTTAGTATTTCCTAATGAAATATACTTAAAGGAACTACACAGAATTTTCTCTTGGGTTCCCCCGCCCCTGTTTAAATACCATGGGAAGTAGTGTACGTAGTGACACTTTGGTTGTTTTGAAAGTAAATCTACATGTAACTGACCATGTTCTAGGTCCTTCCATTAAGCAGGATCATGATGAACTGGAGCATCTTTTGCTCTTGGTGATGAGGAAAGCAAATGTAGTAGAAAAAAATCATGCCCTTTGGCCGCAAATAGAGAAAACTTGCCCCACTAGTCAAGATCGAGCCTTTGGGCAGGTTCTGTTAGTTCTTAGGATCTGTGTCCTCAGAAAACTTTGATGAGGATCAAATGGAGTCAAGGTCAGTGCCCCCTCTTCTCATGAAAGCAAGAGGGCTAGGAAAAGCCCAGCATCCTTCTGTTCCTCGGTCCTGCCATCACTATTCATGTCTGTGGCTCATGTTCTACCTAGTGGTGGGGCCCCTCCTTTTGAAAATATACTCTTTAAAGCACTTGTCACCCAGGATCACCACAGAAAAAGTCTTAGTATTCCAAACTATTCTTTGAATTACGTTCCACCCTGCAAAGGGCCAGATTTTAAATTCTTAAATAATACGCTTCTAGAACCTTCCAGAAACATTTAGATTTTGTGCAAATTGGGTGACTAGGAGTAAACGGTGCAAATATAAATATCCTGAATGCTGCCAGCCCACTGACAGAAATGCTAGCCAGTTTGCCTGTCCTTTTATTCTTCCCGTACTCCTCTCACAGACCTAACCTTCTTATAGTTACTTCACTCAACAAAGAAAACTCATGATCCTTCTCCATCATGAAGATACTGGTCTTTTCTGATTACCGTTCTCCATCATGAAGATACTGGTCTTTTCTGATTACCGTTTAGAATATTCTAGCTCCTGAGGACCCTGTCGGATGAGTAGACCTACGTCATGGGGTTTCCAAGCCCATGCTCTTTACAGAAGCAGACTTTCACAGCTACTGCTCACAGAGCATTGAGTAGGCCTGACCCACCTTCCTTTCACTTGGCAGCTGAGTCCATAACCACTATGCCACTGTGGCTCTTTTTAGTCTTCCCAAGGCCCAAGAACTCTCAGAATAACAGCAGAGAGGGAGAAGTGAGAGTTTGTGGCGAGAGAGGTTCCATCCTAACACAACTACAACAGGCACTTTGCATATGTGACGGAGGTCATTGCTCTGAGTGTCAGGAAGTTGGGTTTGTGGTGGGCCTGAGCTCAGGACTGTGTGCTTTTCTGACAGATTTCACTGCCTCGCTGCTCTCGAGGAGAGAGAGAGCCAACACAGGGCAGCCCACTGAGGCAGCAGCAGGGGCTACCCTTTGAGGCTCTCAGTATTTGAACTTACAGACAGGCAGCTGAAGAAACAGAGCTGCGACAGACAACAGGGTTTCCTCACTCATGAGGTCACAGCATTTGCAAGGCAGCTCATCTTACCTGTTCTCTTCAATCACTGCTAACAACAGAAAAAGAAGTGTCCTTGCAAAGACACTTATAAACATAAAGACATGAGGTCTAGCTGGGACAGGTGTGAAAAACAACGCATCATTTCTAACCTCATTCATTAAAGAGAGTCTTGACTCCAAACCAAGTGCTTTTGCTTTATTCCCCTAAGGGCAAGAATTAGGATTCTGTATGATTTTGAAAGACAATTTTTTGGTCACTGGCATCCACTTCTTAAACAACATGCCTCTGGAAACTCTATGAACTTTGAGAAATGAATATAGTTATAGAAAGGCTTCAGGTGTCATGCTCAACTTGTCGACAATCAACAACAACAACTTGAGGAAAAGGTATCACTTGCCCGATACTTCCTGAATCCTTAGCTACCACCAAAACCATTGCCACTGAGTAGTTTCTGGCTGAGTAACCCGATAGAACAGATAGAATCCTCCATAGGGTCTCTAAGGCTGTAATTTTCATGGAAGCAGATTTTTCTCCCACATATTTCTCCCAGAGAGCAGCTGGTAGGTTCAAACTGCCAACCTTTTGGCCAGCAACTAAATACTTAACCACTGCACCACCAGAGCTCCTTTGAACATCCACAGTGGAGGTCGAAGCCACATGTACAAATTCATTCATGGTCAATAGTAGTCCTGCAATTTAAAAACTGCTTTTCAGGCTTTATACCTGTAAGTACCTGAGACGTGAAACAAGATGAAAATAATTGTCTCCATTCAGTTGACAGTTTACAGGAATGAACGTCCTATTTCCATTAGACAAAATATAAGGGACCTTTATGTTAGCAAGAGAACTCTAATGGCATAATCAGATGGTTAAGAGTTGTGCTGCCAGCCCAAAGGTGGCATCTCTCTGGTGGATCGAATCCACCAGCTGCTCTGTGGGAGAAAGACGGGTGATCTCCTCTGTGCTATTTATAAGCCTCTAAAACTTCCGCTAGAGAGTTGCTGGTGGTCACTAGGGGTTCTGACTAAACAGCAGTGAGGGGTTTTAAAGTGATGATATGGAAAATAAGTTCCTCTCTCTGAGTTGGTTCCCATTCAAGCACAAATCTTTATTTTTTTAATCCTTAAACTTACTTTGCATGTATTTCATGAGTATTTAAAATATAGCAAAATGCACATCAATTTAACAATTTCTACTTTAACAATTCTGTGGCATTGTTTACGTTTTTCAAGTATAACATTCTCACCCTCTTCTGAATTGTTCCTCTCTTGCCAAGATACAGTCACTTCCCCCTAAACTTCCTGTGCAACATTACAAGTTGCTATTTTCAAAACAAATATTCTTTACTAATTAATTTAAGCTATCCACTAGCTGCTGTGTGGGAGGAAGGTGGGGCCTCTCCTCCCAGGTCCTCTACTGCCTCTAAAAACCCACTGGAGGGTCAGCTGTGAGTTGGTCTGACTTGATGATTGGACAGCAGCATACTTTGGACTTCAGAGAACATTTTTAGATCTAGTTATGAGTCCATGCAGGCATTCTTTATTTCTTTTGCAACACTTTATATATTTGCAGTGATTATTTTCTTCTATTACTTAGTTTCCATTTCTCTCCTTAGAGTGTTGTTGTTGTGTACAACTGAGTCAGAAGCATCCTTCAACTTACCCTCCAGTGGGTTTTCAGAGGCAGTTAATCACACAGGAGCAGACGGTGCGCATCTTTCTACTGCAGAACAACTGGTGGCTTCAAACTGTGTGCCTTCAGGATTGCAGCACTGTTACATACCTCTAGGCCTCCGGAGCTTCCTCTCCTTACATTATCCTCTTGCCATTTCATGTTGAGAGATTCACAACATAGAAAAATTGTTTTATTGCCAAATGTTTTTCCCCCAGTCAATAGGTTTTCTTTTCACTCTGTTGAAAAATGCTTTTGATGCATACAGAAATTTGATGTTTAGAAGGTCCCATGCATCAATGTTATTGTCTCCTGGTTGTGTATTTCTGGTTGTATTTGTCAGCCTTTTTATACCATAAGCTAGGCCTTATGAGTTTGATTCTACTTTGTCTCTTACGAGCTTTATGGTTTTAAGCTTTACCCCTAGGTCTCAGCTCTACCTTGAGTTGATTTTTGTGGATGGTGACATCCTGCTTCAGCTTTCTGCAGGTGAATGTCCAGTTTTGGCAGCACTGTTTGTTGAAGAGCTTGTCTTTTCCTCATTCTATAGGTTTTGTTTCCTTGTCAAATATCAGTTGACCAGAGGTAGATGGATTAGTTTCTGGGTTATTAGTTTCTGGGTTCTTCATTCTATTCCATAGGTCTATGTAGGCACCAGTCTTGATATCAGAGCCTCTCTCTAGAGTAGTGCCATCCTTCTGCCTTCCGCTGTAGGTTCATGAAGATGACTAAGCATCTGCTCCATGTGAGTCTCCAAACCAGAGCACAAGACCCTAGTTGATGTCAAGTTGATTCTGGTTATGGCAGCCCCAACATGTGTCAGAGCAGAGCTGTGCTCCACAGGGTTTTCAACGACTGACTTTTGACAAGTAAATTTTAAAGCTTTCCCTCCACCGAGCCACTCGATGAGTTCAAACTGCCAACTCTTTCATTAGTAGATGAGCACAGCCCATTTGTGCCACCCAGAGACCTTCACTGAGCAAGACACTAGTCATATAACTTAACAGATGGTAACTTAAAGTAAGATTTCCTTCCTCTGAGAGAATTTGCACAGAAACAGAAGCCTTCAAGGATAAACAGCTGAAACTAGAGTAATGCAATGCTCGGTAATGAGCTTGGCACTTTCTGTGCCCCACCTTCTAAAATCACATCTGTGGGCCACCCAGAGATGAGGTCAAACATGACTCTGTCCTTGGAGAAATCAGACTGCTCACTTTCATCAGAGAAAGCAGCTAATATTTTTAAAAATAAGGTGTGTTTGCCACTACAGGAAGGGTGAAGAAACCATCCTATGGTAGTTGTGCTCGTTATGGGAAATGTATGATAGATTTTCAGGGGTTGGGCTCTAAAGATGGGTTTCTTCCATCAGCTTAGTTGAGTGTTGCGGCTCAGTGGTTTGATCAAACACTATATGTTGCTGTGAGGATATTTTATAGATGTGATTGGTATTACAGTAAGTTGATGTTAAAAAAAAAAGCAGATTACACTCAGAAATGTAGTGGGTATTATACAATCCGTTGAAGACATTAAGACTGAGTATGATTGAGACTCTGAGTTTCCAGCTGGCCACCCTACACGATGAAGCTTGAACTTGCTAATCTATACAACGGCATGTATCTATTCATCCATATTTGTTGTTGTTGTTGTTGTTAGGTGACATAAGATCATTTCTAATCTGTAGTGGCTCTCTGGGCAACAGGACGAAATACTAGTATTTCATGTTACCTGGTTCTGTGCCACCTTCACAATCGTTATGCTTGAGTCCTTTGTTGAAGCCACCTACCGTGTCAGTGCATCTCAGTGAAGGTCTTCCTTTTTTTTTTTTTGATGACCTATTTTTGCAAGCAAAATGGTCTTTTCTAGAACTGGCTCCTTTTGATATCCAAAGTAGATGAGGTGAAATCTGACCATCCTCATTTCTGCAGGTTACTCTGTCTATGCTTCTTCCAGGGGAGATATTTTTGTTCTTTTGGCAACCCATAGTATATTCAGTATTTTTCACTAATATCATGATTCAAAAGCATCAGTTCTTCAGTCTTACTTACTGTCGTCCATGTTTCTCCTGCAAAAGAGACAACTAAAAGTGCCATGGCTTGAGTCAGGTACACTTTATTCTGCACAGGAACACCCTGGCTCTTCAGCACTTCAAAGAAGTCCTTGCAACAGATTTGCCCAGGAAATATGTCCTTTGACTTCTTGGTTGCTGCATTCTTAGGTGTTGATTGTGGACCAGCATAAAAGTAAAGCCTTAATACAATATTTGCTCCATTAATGATGCTGCTGCTTATTGATCCAATATAAAGATTTTTTATTTCTTTATGTTGATGTGTAGTCTATACTAAATGTTATAGTCTTTGGTCTTCATCTGTAAGTGCTTCAAATCATCTTCAGTGTCACAAGAAAGAGTGTGCCACCTGCCAGCACAAATCATTGAATCTTCCTCCCATCCTGATTCATGTTGTTCTTCATGTATTCCAGCTTCTCAGATTACTTGCTTAGCATACAAATTGAAAATGTTTGGTTAAACGATACAACCCTGACCCACACTTTTCTTGATTTTAAACCATATAGTAAGCCCTATTTCATGTTCACATGACTGCCTCATGAGGTTCCTCATGAACAAAATGAAGTGGTCTGGAATTGCTGTTCTTCCCAGGGTTATCCGGAAGTTCTTATGCTCCACACAGTCAAATACCTTTGCATAGTCAGTGAAGCAGAGGTAAATGCTTTTCTGAAATTCTCTCCCTGTTCCATATCTTTTGTTTAGTCACCTTGAGTTCCTGACAACCATATTTTAATTATATATAAGCATGCATAAACGTACGCCTTTTGCGGCTGACTCAGTTCTGACTCATGGAAACCCTCTGTATGTCTGAGTGAAATAGCTGTTTAGGATTTTCAGTGGCTGACTTTTCAGAAATAGGTCTCCAGGCCTTTCTTGTTTGGGTGGGCCAGAAATTAGAACCTTTCCATTACCATTTTAAATGCTCAGCCATATGTACCACTCAAGGATACCACGATGCCATACATATGCACACACATACCCACACACACTCTTTTTCTCTCACTCTGAAGAATACTGATTAATGCATGGCCTAATATCTTAAACTCCCAACCATAGATGTTGCTAAAAGAGCATCACAACACCATTCCTGTAGACAGTCAAAGGAGAACTTTTATCCTTTAAGTGAAGCCCAGGGATAATGTGAAAGATTAGGTACAGCAAGGGGAAAGCTGATGTTCTGGTTGTATACATGTAAAGTTAATGCTTGATACATTTTTCTCTTTTTCTTGTGAAGGTCTCCTTAGTTTCTTTATCCCGGCCATCATCTCCAGACCATGCAAGTGACACCGCTGTATCCCTCCGGACTTCAGACAGCAGCATTGCACCAGTGGCTGATTTCAGTTACCCCCCAGAATCCTCCTCATGCCTGGACAACTCTGCAGCCAAGCACAAACTCCTGGTTAAGCCACGGAACCAGCGGTCGAGTAAGATGAGGCGACTGTCTTCGGTAATTGGCCTTCTTGCTAACCCCAGGGGCAGGGTGACAGGCCTGGCAGTCCCACTGCCCTCTCAGCTGGGTCACACACCATCTGGCCACATGCCCATGGTGGATGGAACCACAGTGCAGGGCACATGGCTGGCTTTGCTCATTGTTAGCAACAGCAATCAAATTTGTTAGTCCTCTTCCTGCACACTGCAGTTGCTCATTTGTTTAACACTGATTAAGACTGTACTTTGAATTTGGAGGCTCATGTGTCAAGCAGTTGAATACTGGAATGTGGATTCTCTTGTTTAGGTTGAGAGTCCAATGTGGACTGTTCGGTTGTTTTTTTATTTTGTTCACAAGCCCACGTGTGCTGATTTGGATTTGCTGGATTTAGCTAATCAAGAGCTGTGAGCTGGAAGCCTCTTGTTTACAGTCAGGATCTGGCAGGTGGGCCTTTGTATGTAAAAATTTGTTGGGCCTGAGGGCTGCAGGCCTGAGAGCCTGGTAATTATATTTGATACAAACATTCTTCTTAGTGGTATTTTGCTGTATTGAAATAACTTGGGGTTGCTGTGATGCTGAACACTGTACCTCTGGTGTGTCAGATGCCATAATGGTTAGCCATGGTGTTCGGTGGAGCTCCCAGATCAAGACAGTTTTGGAACCAGGAGTGGCATCCACTTCCTAAACAACATGCCTCTGGAAACTCCTATGAATTTAGAGACACAAAGATAGTTCTAGAACAGGGTTTAGGTCTTTTGTTCATAGGGTTGCTGTGAGTTGTGCTCAACTCGATGCACTTAACAACAAGAATATGTGCTTGGGAAGATGGAGGATCAGCAAAGAAGAAGAATATGCCCAACAAGGTGGATTGACAGTGGTTTCAGCAGTGGGCTGTAGTGTGTCAGAGATGATGAGGAAGACACAGGATAGGGCAAGGTTCAGCTGTTCATAGGGTTGCTATGAGCTGTACTTACAAGCACCTAACAGCCACAGCAACAACATGTGCCTGAGTGCCTGCAGCCTTCCAGCTGGACTTGATATAAAGCCCATTCCTCACCAGCACTGCCATCACTCTGAGTTTCTTTTCTAACATAGGCCTCTTTCTGTTTCTTGAGCTTTCCAAGCTGCCTCCAGCCTTGGCGCTTGCTATTTCCTCTACCCACTCTCTTCCTGACTGGCATCTTCTCAGCCTTCAGGTCTCACTCAGCTCAGAAACCCTCTCCCCAGAAAGGCTTATCCTGACCATCCTAGTGAAAAAAGCCCCTCACTTCATATCTCTCTGCCCAGTATCTTCACTGCACTCCTTCTTACACTCAGAAATCTTTATACATGTATGTGTCATGTGCTGATGGCCAGTGAGACCTTGTCACACTGTACCACTAGCTTCTAGAGCAATGCTTGTCACAGAATCAGCAGTCAATAAACATTTGTTGAATGAATGAATGGAGACATTAAACACTAGAATGGATGTTGTTTTGGAGAAAGACTTGCTTGTAGAATACTTTGGCTTCATGATACCACTTGGTTAGAGATTCACATAGGTTGGTTCCCTTCTGTTGGGCTCCCCAGGACCTTTCCCTTGAAGGATGGCCACAGAGAGTGGCAGTACTGAAAGAGACATTACAAACTAATGTCTTTTTTCTCTTTTCCTCAGTTCCTGCTTTCCTTTGTACACTCAGCAGAAATTTATCCCACCAGACCTTGGAGACTCAGTGATGAACAAAGCAGACTTACATAGATCTGCCCTTAAAATGTGTGCAGTCAAGCAAGGGAGACTAATAGTCACGTACAAATGTGCCGATACCCTGGAGGGACCTGCAGGGAAAAGTCAGTGTGCTGTTGGAGAAACCTTGATTTAGTGAAGTGGGAAGGGGAGTTCCCTGGGGAGAAGGCACAGCTAAGCATGAGTGAAGGGAAAAGCATTTCAGGTCAAGGAAACAGTACAGTGTCCCTGAGCTAATAGATGGGAGATAAAAGAAGTTACTACTTTAGAGTTATTTTAAATTTACTTTAAAGTTATTACTTATTTCCAATGCTTTTTTATGAGCTGTTCTCTATAGTAGCCACTAACCACCAACTTAAATGAGTACAATATTTAACTTAATTAAAATGAAAGACTCTAGAGCTTCCGTCCAGCCACATTTCATGTGCTTATTAGTCACATGCGGCCAGTGCAGAAAGTTTTTTTGGATGACACTGCTCCAAGGCAACTTCTATCTGCTGAAATATTCAGCTTAGTTCTTCAAAGCAGAATAATTTGGAAAAAGTAATTCTTACCTGTAAGACAAGCAGTTTCTGTTGTCTCTTGCCATGGTTATGGGATGTGGAAGGAGTACTCATCACAAGCTATGTACTTCAGCTGGAGCCAGTGGGGAGAGGCAGTTCAGCATTTTAGGAATGAGTTTTCCTTTAGGTATATGAGCATGCATCAGGAGTGCTGAGCTTGGAGGGGGGCAGGCTTTCATGCTGTATACCCTGGTCCAAAGTGTGCGTATACTTGTGCCTTGAGAGCATTTACAGGGAATAGCTGAGTACATGGGGCATCACATGGCCCAGTAATCATGACATCCCTAGGCCCTAGTTTGGAAACTGGCCCAGAGTGCCAAGGTGGAGGAGGCTCACTCCTGGTCATCAGGTGCCTGGTTTGTCCTTAGCCCAAACAAGAGTATGTAATCAGATACCGTTTGGTCGAGAAGTGATAGCAAAAGGAATCCCAGCACCAATTCCAGATGGAAAAGCAATTTTCCCCTCTGTCTGTGACTCTCTTCTTTGTTTGTTTGGATTGTTTTTGTTACTGTTTGGGGGGGTTGGTATTTTGGTTTTGGGGGGCTTTTTTATAACATTTTTCAGAATGTCTCCAGTGGTCGTTTATACAGCATGTTAGGGTTTTATTCAAGAGTTTCTACACAAATGTTTGAGTGACATTGGTTGCGTTCTTCTCATAGCAGTTATCAAAAGGTCTTTTTCCTGGGTGCATCTTAGTGTTTCGGCTTTCTTCTGTGTTGTGTCTACCTTTGTCAAATTGTATCTTTTCATTTATTTTTGAATTTGACTTAATTCTTAGCATTTTCTAGAACAAGGGAAAATCTCATTGAGTCTGGGTAAATACAAATGCTGCTTGATCCAAACCTGTCAATTCCATATCTTTCTTCACCTTCTTCCTCTTCTCTTTTCTGTAGGGATGTTGTGGTTTATAGCTAATCTTGAGTTGCCCCAAAACTCAAGAAGACCCCATGCACAATAAAACAAAATATTGTACCGTCCCAATGCTCAGATTACTGTGTTCTGTACAGGTCTCACTCGCAGATATTTGCAAATAGACCACCAGGCCTTTTCTCCTAATCTGTCTTAATCTGGAAATTCTATTGAAAAACCTGTCCAGTATCATAGCAAAGCACTTACTTCTAATAATAGATGAGTCATGCCTGTTTAGGAGAGGTATTTGCCAGGAATGGAACCTGCCTCAGAGGTATCTGGTCAGTGATAACAAGTGTCCTTCCATGCTCCAGCACATTCACTGTTGGGTCTGAGGTTAGTGGCCTCTGTCCTAAAGCACTCAGATTCACCTTTTGGCTGTGAGGTCCCTTCTCCTAACTCTGAGCCCCTTTCTGGTTCCCTGGTACCTCTTGAAGGCCCAGATTGTTTTCATGGTAGAGAGAGAGCTACCTTGTAACCCTCCCTGCTTCCTTCCTGCCTGTGGGGACTTCCTAAGAAGTTTATTGCCCCTTGGGATTTTAGTGAAGCATAGATCCTATGCTTCTCTTGCTTTACTGACCCTCGAAATATCTGAGGTTTCTTTCTTCATCACCCATCCATTCAGAGACTCAGGTACACCTCAGAGACTGCTGCCCAAACTTCCTATCTCCAACTGGACAGAAAAACTGTCCTTAAGATAATCAGGGGTTTTCTAGCTCTCTTCTCATTAGCTTTAAGAATACACTTGGCTGAATCAATCTCCCTCCATCCCCAAGCAGAGATTGGGAGAGAAAAACCTTGGTTGACGTTTACAGCGCTACTCTTTTACTGCTTTGTGTGGGGTTCCATAGGCAGTAGAAGTGGAATGCCCATAAATGTTTACACTAATAGCACCTAGTGTTGTCCAACCCACACAGGGAGCACCATACCAGTTGTTCCTCATTCCAATCCTAGGTGTTGCCAGGAGCAGGTGGTGTTACTAAGTCCATTTGGTTAGGGGCACAAGGATTAGATAAGTAGCTGACAGAGCCCCCCCAAACACAAGACTTTAAGTCTCAGACTAAGACTGAAGTTGCCACTCAGCCCAGCACATGAGCAGTGTCTTCTGTCCAGAAATTAAATGGAATTTGCTGTCTGGTGAGAAGAGCCACATGATCAGGCAGCCAGGATAGCAACTCATTCTCAGTAGACACTGAGCCTTTTTTTATTTTACATTATTTTTTTAATTGGTTTGCTTACAAAGTTGATATACATTGTGTTTCTCCCTGTTCTTCATTCACATTGTGTTTCATCCAGCATTATTATTGTTGTTGATTGCCATCAGTCGAGCATGACTCATAACGACCCTATGAACAAAAGACCTGAAGCCTTTCTATAACTATCGTCATTTATCAAAGTTCATAGGATTTCCAGAGGCATGTTGTTTAGGAAGTGGATAAAATTAATCACCACTGGACATTGTTCACCATCCCCATTTCTGCTAATTCAAGAGGGTCCTAGAATATGAAGCTGCTCTGAGGACCCAGCAGATGTGGCAGGGGAGACATGGAGTGAGTATAACAGACCTACATGGTGCAGCAACTTTGGAGCACTTTCTTGTCATACACGTCCACAGAGCCTGAGCTGAGTCCATAGTGGCTTTGTTCCTCTCAGGTCTTCCTGTCTGCTTCTGTGTCCACCTATAGAAGGGTTGGTCTTTATTAGGTCCTGCTGGGTGCCTGTTTTAATTCCTCATAGCTCCAGTGGCTCAAGTTGTGAGGTATCCAAGCTGACTCTACTCCTCAACTTCCTACCCATGCCATCTAAGTTTCAAGGTTGCTCAC